CACAGGATAGCTCGTTCTAGAAAAACAACCCAGCTTTGGTACCGCAGTGCCAGATACCATAAATTGGGTTGTAGAAGTGATCACTATGGCATGCTGCATAAAATAGCTATATTTTAATAAAGGTTCTACCAGAGGATGTCTTTTATTATTCCATTAGGTCAGGGGTGTCAAACTCAGATTCTGGAGGGCCCCAACCCGCACGCTTTAGTTCTATTCCTGCTTCAACATTCTTACCTGCAGGTTTCAAACAAGCCTAAAGAACTTGTTAGTTTGATCAGGTTTGTTGAATTAGGGTTGGAACTAAACTGTGCAGAGCTGTGGCCCTCCAGGAACTGAGTTTGACACCTGCACATTAGGTTTTTGTCAACGTGTTTTGCTGCTTTAGAGGTGTCTCTATGGTGGATACCTGTGCAGCGGATATCTTCTTGTACTTTTGCACAGTTTTTCAAGCTGAACTTACTACCCTGCATGCCATCAGTTCTGCAGTCTTTCAGAAACAGGCTTTACTATTTTGCTGGCTAGTGTCACTCCTCATGACTATGCTAGTACGAGACATCCACTAGTAGTACTTAGCACCTTATCTGGCGTTAAGGAGGAATGAAACAGAATTCTAGTTATGTATGTAACAGTGGTTCTATGAATTCCGAACGACCACCAGATTTATTTGTCATTTAGAATGTACAAAAAAGGCCATGTTATTTTGGTATACTACCTTGACCCATCTAGCTTGTGCAGTAAAAATCCACATTTGCTTAGCAACGTCTCCGACAGTCATCTGGAATTCACAGAACCACAGTTACAAATGCAACTAGTGTTTCCACTTCTTCCTGTTTGCTTTGTGCTCTGTCATGACAACAGGTTCAAAGTTGAGTAATATGAATATAATGCGTACAAAAGGGTGGAATAGGCAATTAATTGTTTTCACTAAATAAGAGAGGTAACTTCTTCAAAGTTTACTTTAGAATTGTGAGAAATATTAGCTTGATTAAAAAAAAGATTTAGAAGCTGAGCAGCAATAAAATGATTAATAAGACACTGGGACTTCAAAGTCTTGAATAAACTTGATTACAATAAATGCTGTTTTTTTTTCTTTTTTTATTCCACAACCAATACAAAAATACATTTGAGGACTACATTTTGATGTATCTATTTATCTGTTAGTTAGTTAGTTAGTTAGTTAGTTAGTTAGCTAGTTAGTTAGTTAGTTAGTTAGTTAGTTAGTTAGTTAGTTAGTTAGTTAGTTAGTTAGTTAGTTAGTTAGTTAGTTTGTTTGTTTGTTTGTTTGTTTGTTGTTGGTGTCTACCAGGGGTGGGATGAGAGTGGGTTCTAAATTTGCATAGCTACTTTGTGTTTAATATTATTGTTTCCAGAGGAAACTTCAATAAACAGTGGTAAACAAAAAACTGTTGACTTTTTTATTCCTTGAAAATCAGTAACCCTCTGTCAGAGGACCCCACATAAATCATATTACAGTTTTAAATCACTTCTCTTAAAAGTCATCAATAACTGGAGCAAATGATCCAGAATTTCCTTGTTATCAGTTTGGTTTATTAATCTTTGGCTCAGTTTGACATATCTGTGACAGTATGCTAATGATATGTTTTTAGTGAATCTAATCTATATATTGAATTGTGTAAATGACAAATTCTAAAGATATAAACCCTATGTCTACCATTCTTCTACTATAAAAATAAATAAATAAACATATCGATAATATTCCTAATTTTAATCCTTGATTGTGAAGTACGTACACTTAAAGGGTGTGATCCCACGCAAAACTTCCATCCCATTCTAATTTCTTGTCTTAAAGTGTTTTACTTTCTGTTTCATTCATTCATTTTCATCCGATTTTCCAGGACCCCCTTACAAAAAAATATTGCAGTTTTTTTAAGAATATTGCTGTTTTTAAAGGAATACGGCAGTTTTAAATAACTTCTGAAAAGTGCATTTTTTTACACGAAAAAACTGCATTATTTAAGTACATTGCAGTATTACTGCAATACAACTGAAGCACTTTAATACAAATGCAGTACAACTACTGCAATTCAACTGAAATACTACTACAGTACAACTACAGCAATACAGCTGCAGTAAAACTACTGCAATGCAACTGCAATACTGCTACAGTACAAATGCAGTAAAACTACAGCAATAGTACTGAAGTGATACTACTATAATGCAGTACATACTGCAATGGTACTGAAGTACTACAACTACTATACTGTATAGTACTGCTACTGCAATATAACTGAAGTACTACTACTGTACAACTGCCATACCACTATTTTAATACAACTAAAGTACTTCTACAATACTACTGCAGTACAACAACTACTATTTTTCTGCTCAAATGACATCGGTTTCCAAATGAGGTTTTAGTATATCAGTTGTATTGCTAAAGTACTACCACAATATATTGTATTGCACTTTTCAGAAGTGTAACTATTTACAGAAATGCATCTACAATACTGCAATACATAATAAACTAAAGTGCACTTTTAATACTTATGTACCTAAGTGCAATAAATTATATACCATATCACTATATTGACCCTCTCAGTTTATTTAATGTTACTTTAGTTGTACTGCAGATTTTACTGCTGTTGAACTTTATGGCAATATAGTTGAACTGTTTTTATACTTCATTATACTGCAATTTTGCAGTTGCATTGAATTTTGCCACAGTTATCCTTGTATATAGGCTACTGCTGTTGTACTGTACAGTTCTCTGCAGTTATTTTTTATTATTCGTTTTTGCAAATAAAACTCTTTAAAAAAACTCTTGAATCCAAAAAACAGAATTTTTTTTATTTTAAATTACAAAATATTCATTGGAAGATGTTGAAGAACAAACCATTTAGAACACAAGTGCAGTACAGCTCTTACCACACCATTGGCATATAAGACTACAGCAGCACAAGTGCAGTAAATAAAAAGTTTTTTTTAAAGTCCAGTTTACTGCAACTTACACTGCTGTTAAACTTTTTTTTTTACTGCATTTAAACTGTGTTTACTTCAGTGTACTGCAATTTTGCAGTTGCATTTAATTTTACTGCAGTTATACTTCTACATACTGCTTTTGTACTGCAGTTTTACTTCAGTTTACTGCAGTTATTTTTTGTAAGAGCGGGTCACGGGGGCAGCAGTCTAATGCCTAGTTCAGACTGCGTGATTTTAGCCCCGATTTCGGCTCGCTGACAGGTTTTGAGAAATCGCCGACACATGCCTGAAATCACAGGCAAATCGCTGCTCGTGCACGTGAGTGACAATCACACAGTATGAACTATCAACGACGCGATCTGAGAGAATCGCCGATGAGTCGCCGATGCCTGCGAGATATTTGGCGTGCTAAATATCTGGAGCTGTCGGCGATTCAAATCATGCCGCGTGAATTGAGTTTTGACTGAAAATAACATCAGCGATCGCCTACAGCCAATGAGAGAACAGCATTGACTTGCGTGTGTGTGTATAACTACTGCAGGCCAGCGGGAGGCTGGGGGAGAAGGTAAAAGCGCTCTTTTTCGGTTTATTTGGACCCACTAAATGGAGGATAAACTAGTGGAGGTTTGACAGGACACAGGAGCACCCGTATCTGTTTTGACGTTTAACACAGAAAGAAATTAGTTTATTATCAACATTAAGGAGAAATAGCTAATTCCCTTTAAACCCAGGTGAGCAAATATGTACATGTTCTACCCCATTAAAGGCTTCTTTCTCATTATGTAGTTAATAACAAAAGTCGATATAATACGTGTTTTTGGCTGTGAGACGTAGTTTGTACGACGTTGTCTTCGATTCTTCCTATTGTAAAGTCATGCAATGTGAAAGCCCCTGTCGCCCATCCATCTTGCAGTGTAAACAAATCAGCGACGAAACGCTAGCCCAGATAGTCAAGCAGTGTGAAAACATCTGTGACACGACTACTTTGAAAATCATGCAGTCTGAACTCGGCATTAGGAGAGAACCCCAAACTTTCCTCTCCCCAGACACTTCCTCCAGCTCCTCAGGGGAATTCCGGGGAATTCCGAGGCCAGCCGAGAGACATAGTCACTCCAGTGTTTCCTGGGTCTTCCCCGAGGCCTCCTCCCAAGGGTAAATGCATGGAAAACCTCTTTAGGTAAACTTCTAGAAGACATCTGAAACAGATGCATGAGCCACCTTAGCTGACTTCTCTCGATGTGGAGGAGCAGCGGCTTTACTCCGAGCTCCTCCCAGGTGATAGAGCTCCTCACTCTATCTATAAGGGTGTGATCTGCCATCCTGCGAGGGGAAACACATTTGTACTTGTATCTGAGATCTTGTCCTTTTTGGTCATGACCCATAGCTCATGAGGAGAGTAAGAACGTAGATTGACCTGCAAATTGAGAGCTTTGGCTTTTGGCTCAGCTCCTTCTTTACCACAACGGACCGGTACATTGACCGCATTACTGCTGCACCGATTCACCTGTCAATCTCACGTTCCATCCAACCAACACTCGTGAACAAAAACTCAAGATACTTAAACTCCTTCACCTGGGGTAAGAACTTTCCTCCAACCCGCTGTATTCCAACCAGTCAGACTTCAGACAACCCTTAACAGAGCGCCTCTGACCCCATGCTATGAGAATGCCACCAGGGACACGGTTAAATGCCGTCTACAAGTCCACAAAACACATGTGGACTGGTTTTGTGGAACATAATTTATTTACTTTTTTCAATGAAATGAAGTCAATAGTCATCCAAAGATTTGGTAAAGGCTACAGTAAAAGAAACTATAATATATCAAATTTATACAAAAATATAGAGACAAAGACCAGCTGTGTGCATTGTCTCTATCGTATAATAATCAGTCAGTTTCATATGCATACAAGTGCACATAGACATACAGTTTGACATTCTTTAATTAAGAAATACTTTGACATATTTCAGAGCCAATTATCAAGACTTTACACACAGCAACATTCAAAATCACTAATGTTTTTTTCCTTGTCTTTAGAATTGGCAAGTTTTGCAAAAAAGTTTTTTAATGTCTTTTTTATTAACTTGCGTGTGTAAAATGACTAAGATAACTAAAATTCATTGGAGTCCATCCAAAACATTCCTGAGAAACTTTCACTATGTGTAATGAAGTGACTTTCTACTGACATGGGAATCTGAACATGTTCATTATTAGCAGTTCCTGGATCAGGAAATGTAACTAAAGTGAAATCGTTTTGTGACATACTAGGTGATTACTTCATAGGCCGAGTTCCTCTTCTTTTGAGTTGGGCTCTGTCCTGTGCAAGTAATAAAAACAGTCATTGAAGTTAACAGCAACCTTATGTAAAATCAGAACAGTGTAATGAAAACATCACTAAACATTATATGCCCTGTTGAAATTACTGTAAAGTCTTAAAAGGTTAGTTCACTCAAAAATTAAACTCTGTTATTAATTATCATTCCAATCTTCTAAGTCTTGTGTTCATCTTCAGAACACAAATTAAGATATTTTAGATTAAACTTGGGAGCTCTTTGATCCTCTCTTTGACTCTGTTATGTTTTTGTTTGTTTTCTTATCTCAATGTGTCCATAAGTTTCACAGTTTCAATTTACTACAACTTCTATGTTAAATCTGCTTTGACACAATCTGCATTGTAAAATTGCTATAGAAATAAAGACGAATTTAATTGAATTGACCCTCCAAAGACAAACAGAACCCTCCATAAAAAAAAAAATTTAAAACCTTTTTTTGCCAATGTGTTCTGTGTCAGATTACAACATCCCTTTTCTACAGGCAATAAACTTGCATGTTGCACTGCTGACTCCATTGGCAATACAATGAACTGTCCAAAGTAAATGTGCAACTTTACCTGATAAAAACAAGGAGAAGACAAAGGCAAATAAAGTCATTTTTATCTTTTTTGGCACGTAAAAGTGGTCTGGAGCTTCATGATTACAGATGAGCCAGTAAAGTCAGATGGAATGTCTAGACAGTGACTACGTTTACATGGATATCAGTAATCAAATAATATGCCTTAATCTAAATAAGACAATTATATGATTAAGGTGTTTACATGAGTTTCTTTATGAATGTTCCTTTCAAGATCTCATTTTCACATGTTACAGCACATAGATCGATTAACGTCATTGCACCACCACACTATCCACATTTCCTCCAGAGTTTCATGTAATTTCGGGTGTTTCATTTTTAATTTGTTGACTAACTGCAGTTTGGCACTTTCACTTTCTTTTGGGAACATTTTATGCATGCCCCTTCATGACAAACGAGATATTGGATGCGAGTATGAACTGCTGGAAGAGTGCTCCTTTGATACCGCACGGCGTATATGAAAAAACCTTCGCATTTCGTGGGGCAGGTGTCTGTGGTCCTTCACTGACTCGGTAGGTGCAGAGAATAATATGCAGCATACTCCACATCTTTATCCAATTTTGATTTAGTTCCATTATGACCATAATTGGATTAAATTAATCAACGTTTACATGGTAGACTTGTAATCAGAGTATTGTCTTAATCATAGTAAAATGTTTTTTCTATGTTAAGTCTGTGAAAATTCGAAAAGCTTTTGGATTTCATCTAAAAATGGTAATTTGTATTAATGAACAAAAGTGTGGAACATCATGAGGGTGAGCAATTAATAACGGACTATTTCTTTTTGGGTGAGCTAACTCTTTAAAGGTTCCTAATTTTATTTTGTAGATTTCCTACTATGAGTTCAAAGTCAAATAAACACATGAATGCCTGCTGTGACTGCTGTACAGCTCATAGAGCATATCACTACTAAATTGTACGTTACTATATCTGAATTTCCAGAGGTTTTCTTAGCTCTTTATGCTGTCTGTTTTGTTTAATTAGTTCAAACATGCATCATAATTGTTAGAAAAATGGGTTTCTTTTTGCAGCATCTTTTCAACATGTTAAAAACCCGAATCTAAAACTTCCCCACTTAAAACTACAACTACAGCATTTGGGGGTCAAACAGACATTGTTTGTAGACAGCCTGTGAATGCAACAGGCTGGCATATGTACAAAAGTACAGAGTAGGCAGTCAAGCTGGAGTTACTGATGACTTTTCACTTGCGGTTTCATCTACTGGGAAACCAAAAATGAATTTACCTTGAACTTTGAGCTTTGAAACAAGAGTTTAACGTTTGCATCCACACAGATGAAAGCTAATATTTAACAGTGGCACTTATATTAAACCCTGAACCTAAGGACACTGCTTCTCTCTCATTATATTTTGAATATGTAGAAAATGATGGCATATTACACATGATGGTTGAGCCAGTTATTCTCCAAAGACTGTACATATGCACACATACCCTATGTTCCTTAACGCTTCCTGGATTTTCTGCCGTTGCTCTTCATTAATGGGATAGAAGTAAAAAATCACCATGCCAATAAGCAACAGGCCGAGAGGCACAGGAGCGAAGAGAATCCAGAGTGCATAAATGACCTCTGAATTGTGTTTACAAGCTCCAGGTATGTATCCCACAAAGCTGAAGAGGGGAGAGGGAATTTAGTAAAGCATTCTCAAATAAATCTTTTAGGTTTGGGGTACTAAAAATACATATTTAACAACAATTAAAAAAAAAAAAAAAGCTCTTACTGTAAAACCAAGGTAGATATTCCAACAGACAATCCTCCTCCAAATTTGTTAAAGAACACATAGCAGGAGTAGAACAGTGGCTCTAGATCCAGAAACGACGGGTTCTTGACTTTGAAGTCGTCCACTACATCTGGCAGCATCGACCTGAAACAACATCTTGCGTATATTATGTGTCCAAACAGGAATAAAAGTTAAAAGGATCACTTTCTGTTTTAAGATCTTTATTCTTGTGAATTTCCTTCAGAAGTCACACTGTTATGCTGATTTGGTCCTCAAGAAATTTTATTAATTTTACTTTTGTTACAAAATATTAAAAGATTAGCATATTCAGGATAGTTCACCTATTAAATGTTTAAACCAAATGTAACAAATAAATGTTAATAAATGATAATTAAATGTTACCATTAACCAGGGGTGGACTGAGACTAAAAATCAGCCCTGGCACTGTAGCCACACCAGCCCACATTACCACACTGACACAGCCCCATGCACAGACACGTACATTCACTACTTAGATTGGTGTACATATGGTGAAATATTATAAGCAGTACCATGTGTAATTGATATTTAAACATTTAATGTATGTGACTGGAACAAAAACAACCCATTTATAACAAATTTATATGCAATCATTTCATTCATTCATCTTCTTTTCAGCTTAGTCCCTTTATTAATCTGGGGTCGTCACAGCTGAATGAACCGCCAACTTATCCAGCATATGTTTTGCGCAGCGGATGCCCTCCAAGCTGCAACCAATCACTTGGAAACCTCTATGCACACGCATTCACAAACATGCACTATGGACAATTAAGCCTACCCAATTCACCTATTGCACATGTTCTTGACTTTTGATGGAAACCAGGAGGAAACCTATGCAAACATGCAAACTCCACACAGAAACACCAACTGACCCAGTTGAGGATAGAAATAGCGACCTTCTTGCACCACTGCGCTGCCCTCTTTCAAGACTATTTTATTTAATTTTATGCATTTGGCAGCTTCTGATTTTAGGGACTTTTTTTGCTTTCTCTGAGCAGTGCCTTTCCTTTTTATGGTCCATCTCTGACAATTAGCTTGTTTATAGCTTTGTTTGACATTCTTACCAGATTTTGATTACGTCTGGTTTACCTCTGATTGGGTCGGCCCATCTCAAAACCATCCGGTTGTTGCCGATTGTGCCAATGCTTAACATTTATTATTATTATTACTATTATCATCATCGTCGTCATCATCATCCTCAAAATATTCAAATCTTGCAAGAGATAAAAGCTGCCTGCATGTAAAAACAATACATATTAAAACATTTATTTTTAAAAAAACTGACCGGCCCACATTTAAAAAATGGTCCGGCTCTTCTGATATTTGCCAGAATTGCCAGATGGCCAGTCCGCCCCTGCCATTATCTCACCCTAAAGTGGTTCCAAACCTTTTTGAGTTTCTTTATTCTGCTGAACACAGATTAAGTTATTTTGTAATTATAGGAAAAAATATGGAAGTCAGGGGTTACAGGATTTCAGCTTTCTTCAAAATATCTTCTAAAGGCAAACAGGTTTGGAACCACTGGACGGTGAGCAAATGATGACAGATATTCAGTTTTGATTGTCTTTATATATTATTATAATAGAAATATTTTGTCACACTATAAGTTATGAATGTTCTATTTTTATTGTCGGCTATGATAAGCGTAGAGGGACAATACGATGGCTAAGTGGTTAGCACTGTCATCTCATAGCAAGAAAGTCACCGTTTCAATTCCCGGCTGGGTAAGTTGGCATTTTTGTGTAGAGTTTCCATGTTTTCCCAGGGTGTTTTGGTTTCCCCAGTCCAAACACAGGCGACTTACTTGAATTGAATAAACTAAATTGATGGCTTTATAGCATATGTGTGTGTGAATGCAAAAGTGTATCAGTGTTTCCTAGTACTGGGTTGCAGCTAGAAGGGCATCCGCTCTGTAAAACATACGGAATATTTGGCAGTTCATGCCACTGTGGCGACCCCTGATAAATGAAGGGAATAAGGCGAATGTAAATGAATGAATATTCTTATGGAGCTTTTAACACTGTAAGAGCTGACATTAGAGTACACTTCACAAAAAGAGATCATGAGAGTATTTACAGGTGATCAGAGGACAAAATATGATAGCAAGCATTTCCCTGTATGGATTTATATATATCACACAAGCAGTCATTTATCTTCCTGAATCCTGGCAAATGAGGACAAACACAAATGTAAGGTTTTTACATGCAACAGTTTAACAAACAGAAAGTGTAAAACAACCTTCTGGTTTTTTTATGATTCACTAATTAAAACAGTTCCAAACAAAGCCAAAGCAGAACATTTGTTCATCTTGGAGTAACAGTGCGATGTTTTATTCTCAAATGAATCTGTTTTGAACTAATCAAACTGAGTTAATGATTCAGTTGTTCAGGGATTTAAATAGACCTATTATGCAAAAATCTTGTTGTTAAACACAGTTGTGTGGCAACAGTCTGTGAATGTAAAGAGCCTATGAGAATAATAAATTATACTTTCTATAATCCCATTTGAAAAAAACAGCCTACAGAACTTTATTTGACATACACTCTTTGTACACGTCATCTGAGGGGGAAAGTCCCACCCATTAGTGATGGTCTTTCCATCATCAGCAAAAACAACCCTGAATAAGAAGCAGCCATTTGAATCTGCCACTATGCTGACACACATGCATTTTAAGCACTGGCCTCTTTAAAAAAAAAAAAAAAAAAAAAAGGCTGAGAGAATAATCTCATTTGAATTAAAAAAAAAAACGGCTGAGAGAATAATCTCTTTTGAATTAAAAAAAAAGGCTGAGAGAATAATCTCTTTTGAATTTAAAGCGACAATCACCAAAATGGTCAAATTTGGATCAAAAAGGCTTCAAATTCACACTCTAGGGATATTAGAGCCTTATTTTACACCTTGTAAAAAGGGTCATAATAGGTCCCCTTTAGGACAGTCGCATGTTTAATTTCTAAATGAATCAGCTATTGATGAGTCAAGGATTTAAGTGGTAGAGAGTGGATGTTAGCAAAGTGAGAAGAAATATTTTACTTTACCAAGGCAGTAGAAAAATGGATGCAAGACTTATGCCAGATAACACAGACATGATAATCAAGGTAGTCAAACTACTCTTCGATACGATTATCTCAACGAGAGCTGGGATGTAAATCTGCAGAAAACAGGAGAAAGACAGATGAAAAAGTCAAAACAACATTGTATCCATCTGTGTATCCACTTAAAAAAAGACAAAAATCTTGCTCACTGAAAGGCCGAGGAATATAGTGGTCTTCTTTCCTATTCTGACCAACAGCGTCTGCCACATTGGGACGGATATTGTTGCTGACGCCTGTATATGAGCAGAAAGGATGTCTGTATAACTAAAAATATCATTAAATATTAAAAATATTAAAATTGTAAATACTATTTAAATATTTTAACTAAACAGCACTGCTGTAACCCACATTAGTGCCATATAGCTACCTCTAATGGTTCTTCTTCAGTTCTTTATGGTGGTTAGTGTGCTGTGTAGCATAATCTTTAAAGATATAGGCGCTATTCAACACTTTGAGCGGTGTTATTTAACATTTTTAAGTATTTTGTCATCAGCATTTTTAGAGCGAACATGTAAGGAAATCATATGATAAGTATGTCAGGACAACAAAACATTTTATGTTGGTTGGTCCTACTTTATATTAAGTGTCCTTAACTAACATGTACTTAAACAGAAATTAATAATTATTTATTTACATTGTATTAATTGGGTAAATACTTTCCCAGAGATGGGTTGCGGCTGGAAGGGCATCCACTGCGTAAAAACTTGCTGGATAAGTTGGCGGTTCATTCCGCTGTGGCGACCCTGGATTAATAAAGGGACTAAGCCGACAAGGAAATTGAATGAATAATTGGGTAAAGACATGTATTTACTGTGTACTTATGCTTGATTAAATACCTGTATATAATTAAATCTGTAATTAACTTCTGTAATTATATTTGTGAATACACTGTTGACCATACCTTACACCTCAACACACCCTTAAACCTACCCATACCACCAAACCTGTCCATAACCCAACCCCTATCCCTACTCACAAGCACCACAAGTGTTCTCAAATACATTATAAACACAGTAAGTACGATGTATTTATTTTTTGATGCAAGTACATAGTAGTTAAGGACACTTAATATAAAGTGGGACCGTTACTTTAACTTTCAATCTCAATAAAATGTTAAGCTATATCTGATTTTTTATTTGTTAAACGTAAAAGAAGACACTTTGAAGAATGTTGTAAACTGGTGGATATTGACATTAATAGCAGTGAAAAAGACTGTGGAAGTCAATGAATAATGTGGAAGTCAGTTTTCAACATTCTTCAAATAATAATTTTTTTTGTTGAACAGATGAAAAACTGTAAACATTTAGAGCAAGTGAGTACATGATGACCTAATTAGAATTTTTGGCAGCTTCATTTCAACTTTATTTTTAAACAGTGAAGATTTTTACAGTCGAGCTAGAAATTTCCAGTATACAGTGCATTTCCTTACCAGTGTTATCAGAATAAAATGCTGGAAATATGATCCCAAATGTGCTGCATGAGTACAGAAGAGAGCGAAATTTCCTACGTTCACCTGAAACGTCACAACAATTTACTTTTCATCACAAGAACTGTGAAAGTTTATAAAACCAATTATATTCTTTATGACTATTTATCAACATCAATACAGGGCGATTCTAGTAAATTCAGACAAGTTTTTTGCTGGTATTTTATTATCATCCACAAATATATCAAAATGCATTCATAAATGAAACAGAAAAACATCTGACCTGAAAGGCTAGTGAAGAAAAGAGGAATCCAAATACAAGCCGTACATATGGAGTGTGTCTCACAACCATCTTAATTCCAGTTAGATAGGGAACTTTAATGCTGTCAAGGTTACTCAGAGGCGCTTAAGTGAGAAGTAAACACATGAAAATGACTAGTTATCAAATCAACATTAGTTTAGAGATCACCATATCTGTTTATTTTAGCTGTAGTTATGTATTAATTCTTATGAAATCGATGCTAAAAGGGCATGCAGTATGCTAAGCGTCACAGACTCCTGGTATAGTGTTTTACATCATTTTACTTACCCACCTGCTCCTTTACACCGAAAAAAAGGACTAGACAGCAGATGAGGTACAGTATTCCCATTACTATTGCGGCAATCAAATAAGCTGTTCTCTGTTGAAAATAAAAGACAAATGCAAGCACCATTCATTATAGTATGTTTTAAGTAAACATTAAAAACAATCTAATAAAGCATACAGACACTTTAAATTAACTTTTACATTTTTACAAGATCAATATAGACACTTTGATTTAGCAAAGACACATTGAATCGATCAAAAGTAAAAGACATTTAAATTGTTACAAGAGATTTTTAGAATATGTGTTTATTTTATGATTGGTTATTTGTTAATATGTGTGTTTCAATAAATTAAAGCCAAAAACACCGTAATACAGCGTTAAAGCTTTTTCCTGAATGCAGGAGGCTGAAGTTTTTAACACAAAACGATGTGAAAATCACCATGCCCATTCATTATCACAGACAGTATATTACTTTTAATATATATGCATACAGAGAAGCAGTGGTGCAGTAAGTAGTGGTCGCTGCAAGTCACAGCAAGAAGGTCACTGGTTCGAACCTCGGCTCAGTTGGCACATCTGTGTGGAGTTTGCATGTTCTCCCTGCACTCGCTTGGCTTTCCTTTGGGAGCTCCGGTTTCCCCCACAGTCCAAAGACATGCGGTACAGGTGAATTGGGTAGGCTAAATTGTCCATAGTGTATGAGTGTGTGTGTGTGTGTGTGTGTGTGTGTGTGTGTGTGTGTGTGTGTGTGTGTGTGTGTGTGTGTGTGTGGATGTTTCCCAGAGATGGGTTGTGGCTGGAAGGGCATCCACTGTATAAAAACGTGCTGAATAAGTTGGCAATTCATTACGCAATGACGAACCCGGATTAATAAAGGGACTAAGTGGACAAGAAAATATATACATACACAAACACACACCGGCCACTTTATTAGGTACACCCTACTAATACCATTTGGCCCTCAAAACGGCTTTAATCTTTCGTGGCATAGATTCTACAAGGTACTAGAAATATTTCTTAAAGATTTTGGTCCATATTGATATGATAGTCTCACACACTTGCACATCCATGATGCGAACCTCCCGTTCCACCACATCCCAAAGGTGCTCTATTGAATTAAGTGACTGTGAAGGCCATTTAAATACAGTGAACTCATTGTCATGTTCAAGAAACCACTCTAAGAGGATTTGCACTTTATGATATGGTGTGTTATCCTGCTGGAAGTAGCCATCAGAAGATGGGGACACTGGTCATCCAGGGATGGACATGGTCAGCAACAATGCTCATGTAGGCTGTGGCGTTGACACAATGCTCAGTTGGTACTAATGGGCCCAAAGTGTGCCAAGAAAATATCCCCCACACCATTACACCACAACCACTAGCCTGAACCATTGATACAAGAAAGCATGTGATGCATGTGATGATGCTTCCATGTTGTTGATGCCAAATTTTAACTACCATCCGAATGTTGTAGCAGAACTTGAGACTCATCAGACCAGGCAATGTTTTTCCAATCTTCTGTTGTCCAGTTTTTGGTGAATCTATGTAAACTGTTGCCTCAGTTTCCTGTTGTTAGCTGACAGGAGTGGCACCCAGTGTGGTTATCTGCTGCTGTAGCCCATCTGCCTCAAGGTTCAACATGTTGTGTGTTCAGAGATGCTCTTCTGCATACCTTGGTTGTAACGAGTGGTTGTTTGAGTTACTGTTGCCTTTCTATCAGCTCGAACCAGTCTGGCCATTTTCCTCTGACCTTTGGCAAGAACAAGGCATTTTCACCAACAGAACTGCCACTCACTGGATTTTCGGACTATTCTCTGCAAACCCTAGAGATGGTTGTGTGTGAAAATCCCAGTAGATCAGCAGTTTCTGAAATACTTAGGCCAGCCCGTCTGGCACAAACAACCATGCCACGTTCAAAGTCACCTGAATCCCCTTTCTTCCCCATTTTAATGCTCATTTTGAACTGCAGCAGATTGTCTTGACCACGTCTACGTGTCTAAATAAATTGAGTTGCTGCCATGTGATTGGCTGATTAGAAATTTGCATTACAAGCAGTTGGACAGGTGTACCAAATTAAGTGGCCAGTCAATGTGTGTGTAAATATACATATATATACTCGACACACACAAACAACAAATACAGACATGGTACTTTAACATAGCTTATACTTTTAATATAATTCAGCAAAAAAATGGCAACATCCTTTCATAATTTGAACTAAATTAATTAGGAATAAGCTAAAAAAAAACTGCTGATGCTAATATTTAATTTATTTATATATTATATATTGCAATATGATAATTGAAGCCTAAGTGGGTGCATTTGCTACAATGCTACCACAACATTTATTGAGAATTAGCCCCTGCATATACAGTCACCAGGAATAATCTTATTCTACTACACTAAATCATTAATGTAAGGACAAACAGCTGCATTTAGTTCACAGTGAAAAGTAATAACTTATAACTGATAACTGATTAATGTGCTTGAGACAACAGTAATGAGGTATTCATTTTCTCACAGTGTTTTGTAGAGCTATTTCGGATATGTCAGTCAGCTTGTCAGTGTAGTTTCCAGAAAGCTCTTCTGTGTTATTCTGCAAGCTGCAGGTGTGTGTCCTCTTGGCGTGGTGAACCCCGACTATTTGCCCCTGAATGGCAGAAGCTGCCAGTGTGGCGAACACTTCCACACCCATTCCTGTTTCAAGAGAAAAACAGCGTTCTAGACTTCTTCTCTTTCATACAGCAAACACAATTTTTGTGAAGATTGTATGGTTTTCTGCTTACCAATATTAGCTTCTAAAAGATGGTTGAGGATGTTTTTTTGATACTAAATCATTTAAATGGGTGGTCCACAACGATATCATATTTTAAGCTTTAGTTCATGAGTAATGTAGCTGTGTGAACATAAACAACATCTCTGAATGTAATACGCTCAGAGTTTAATGCAAAGGGAGACATTGGCTTTTAGAGTTAGCTTAGTGAATACAGTAAACAAAGTTTGGGGACTACAAAAAAATACATCCGGGTTAGTGAAATCACAAACCTTCAAGTTACGAGCACACACCCTGCGCAGTGAAGGGGCGTTGCCAGAGGCACTGTAATGTAGCAGAGAAAGCTAAAATGCCATCCAAACGCTGCTATTCCCACAGAACTTCTTCTGTTTCTGTATTTGGGCTTCCAAATTATACAACACAAAGAGAGAAGGACTTACAATTTAATTTTAATTTTGTTCCAGACAATTATATAAAAAAAAAAATACAGCTCTAGCATTGACAAAGGACAGTTTAGTGCTGGATTCGGCTAAAATCTCCTCAAAAAAGGAGCAGCTCCAACCAAAATTGACAAAGCTGTGGATTGTGAGCCACAACCTGTAAGTATCTTTATTTGTTAAAATTGATCTATTACATGCATAGTGTCTAGCGTTAATGGTATTTTGTAGCGAGGATGTAAACAATGGAAAAGGCTGTTTGGCATTGTAAGCAATTTTGCCACAAATTCATATTTATCAGTCAAACCACTGTAACCCCCACAATCTTCACCAGCGCTGCAGTTTCTCTCTATATGCAGTGTCTTTTCCTGCATTCTACATCTAACATAACAAACTCGCAAAAGATATGTTTCATATTACTTACACATGCTTTTAAACTGAATATATACGAAAGACACTTTTAAGGTTTTATTTTATAGAGCAGGCGTGAGGCGTGTCCTCTGTGTCATTTGTCTGATTCAGGCTCAAACTGATAAGGCTAACAGCTACTCTGACTGACAGTGTTAGAGGCATGACGCTTTTCCTGGTGACGTGAAGCCAATTGAGGGCCTTTTGGATGAACTAGGAAATATGATGTTTTCATGTTAGCTGATTAGATGTATATAATCAGCAGTAGGCTATATAAAGAAATATGAAAATATAATGTGATTTTTTTTATATAAACGAAGCATGAGCACACATTGCTTTGCATATTATAAACAAAACCAGGCCTTAAAAAAATACACTGTGGACCATCCCCTTTAATCTTTTATTTTCTAAAACCTCCCTGATTTTTGGGTGCGATTGTAACTATATGACGGATTTCTTTAACACAAAGACACCTCAAAACTTGATACCTTTGGACAACAAGAGATCCTAAATAAACATGATAATACTCATGCTTTCCAGTTAACATTTATTTTAAAAGATCAGTCATCTATTTGCCAAATCAAATGATACAAAAAAGCCGAAAGCTGTAATTCTGATTCTGTCCACTAGAGACTGCCATAGGATAAGAAATCTTTTTGAAATCCTTTCACTTAGTATAAATGTGAAAGTTTATGTAATTCCTGACGTTGTCCTTATTGAATTACAGTCTTTAAAAAACAAAAGCTCAAAATTGTTTTTTGCAGTGATATCATGGAAGAGTATTAGTTTAGATTCAGCAAAATAACCTTTTGCTGCAGCAGTTCTTCAAAGAATTATGTTTTTCATCAATGTTAAAAAATTTTTAATGATCTCAAGAACCTTTTCCACTTTTGAACCTTTTGTGAAATGAAAAGTTTCCATGGATGCTAAAGGTTCTTTGATGGAACCAATTCACGGATGTCAATAAACAGCCATTGCACAATGTTAAATTGTAAAACATTAAATTAAAAGTGTTCATTAAACCTCTTTAAGTATTACATTACAGGTGCATATGTATTTTGTAAAAACTGCAACACTATATAAAAATAAGAATTGTCAAGTTGAATTTAGGGTATTGACCTTAAAAAATGCTTAATATGTAAAAACACAACATTTACAAATTTAGCTAATTGATCTATCAACTTCCAGGATTGTGTGTATTTATTTATAAACTGTAATACAAATTTAAAATTTGAGGCCAAAAATGAAATAATTCCTAACTGCATTTGAGTTCACTTACTATAAGCAGTGGCTGAGTCTCGGTCCTTTTCATCCCCTCCTAAAAACATGTTTAGTGAAGAATATGGCACATGGTGGCACTAAGTGAGACAAAGAGAGAGAAGGTTTTTAGAAGTCAGTAATAAATAATATACCACCATAGCACCATACACTAAGTTAGTACTATATTTAGTCATCATGAGTAGCTGCAACTTCTGAGAAAAGAGGTGGTCCCTCTACTAAACATTGAAGATTCCCTCTAGTCAAAAAACAAAGTACTTTCAGGAAATGTCTTTAAAAGCTGAACCTCATTTATTCTAAATGTGTAAAACGTCAGTAAACTGTGTGCAGATAATGGTAATAGTGGTCTTACACTTATAAAGGTGTCAAATACACAACACCATATGAAGTACCAGCTGAAACTGAAGGCAGGGGACATGGTGTCCTGTGGGGTATACCATAGCATGATGTATGACAGGACCCCAAGCGGCATGGTGAACACAATCCTGTATAAAGGGCACAAATGATGATGAGCATTTGGCATATATTTAAACACTCAAATTCACTTTTACTTTTATTGTCAAGTAAATGTGAGCAAATTCAGTGAAATATTATTAAGAAATGCTTTAGACCTGGTCTGATATTACCCAGTACACTAACCAAGGTATGAGTTTGCCAATTCTGGTCCGGCCACTTTTGCTCACAGCATATCCAACCAGAGGATCTGTAACAGCATCCCAAGCTCGACCGAGGAAGAGAATGAGGGATGCATAAAAGGCTTCCATCTATATATTTATATATAAAACATGCACAAAAGAAAATGTAAAAATTCTTTTAAAACTTCACTTAAAATACACTGTGCCTCTTTTTTGTTATAGAAATACAATTGTCAAAAATTAATTTACAAAAAAAATAATGCTCTATCAAGCTGAAACTGAAGAAATAAATTATTTTTCACACAAATCTTGGGGAAATTTTACTACCTAATATGTGAACAGTCAATCAAAATAATGAGATTCACATCAAAGAAAAGTTTTAGTGTGTTATTGTTCAACTTTTTTTTCTGGTTTCTTATTAATAAAAGTATGTAAAATGTAGTTAGTAGTAAAATGTATGAATAAATCTGTAATTTATTTATTTCAAATATCTCCTCTATGGACCGGCACCTTATCGTGGTGGAGGGGTTTGAGTGCCGAGTGATCCTAGGAGCTAATGCCCCTGGTAGGGTCTCCCAAGGCAAAAAGGTCTTAGGTGACAGGTCAAACTACGTGCGGTTCCAAAACCCTTTATAAACTTCTTTGCATCGAGGATCATGACGTTTCCTGGCATGGCGCAGTTGGGGCTCCACCCTGGAGCCAGACCTGGTCTTGGGGCCGTATTCGAGTGCCTGGTGGCTGGGGTTTTTTTCCCATGGAACTGGCAGGGCTTAGCCTAAAGGAGCGATGTGGGACTATCCTCCTGCAGGAGGAGTTGTAAGGGGCCGGTGCATTGTGGAACAGGTAGTGGTCAAAGGTTAGGACCATGATAACCCGATCATCGAGCACAGAAACTGGCACTTAGGACATGGAATGTCACCTCATTCAGAGGGAAGGAACCCGAGATTGTGCAGAAGGTGGAACGGTACCAACTAGTGATAGTTGGGATCCCCATTATGCACAGCTGGGGCTCTGGAGCTCAACTTCTTGAGAATGGCTTGATTTTCTTCTACTCTGGATTTGAGAGGTGAGAGGCGGCTGGTTGGTGTGGGCTTGCTTATAGCTCACCAACTTAACCTCCATGTGGTGAACGTGAAGGTTGCCTCTCTGCACCTTAGGGATAGGTCTCTTACTCTGGTTTGTGTCTACAGGGTGGGAGGGGTGCTGGAAGGTGCTCAGACTAAGGACTCCATTGTTCTACTGGGGGACTTCAATGCCCACGTTGGTAATGACAGTGATACCTGGAGAGGCATAATTGAGAGGAATGGCCTCCCTGATCTGAACCCGAGTGGTGCTCTGTTATTAGACTTCTGTGCTAATCATAGTTTGTCCATAACAAACACCATGTTCGAGCATGAGTGTCACCATCAGTACACATGGCACCAAAACACCCTAGGGTAGAGGTCAATGATCGACTTTTTGGTTGTATCATCTGATCTCCAACCGTATGTCTTGGACACTCGGGTAAAGAGAGGGGCAGAGCTGTCAACTGATCACCACCTGGTTGTGAGTTGGATCCGCTGGCAGGGAGAAAGCTGGACAGACCTGGCAGGCCCAAACATATTGTGAGGGTCCTCTGGGAACATCTGGCTGAACCTTAAGTCAGAGGGATTTTTCAGAGTCAGAGAGCGGTTTGCTGCCGAGTGTGATGCAGCTGGGATGAGAATCAGCTCCTCCAAGTCTGAGGCCATGGTTCAGTCAATGTAGCGGTTCGTTGTGGTAAAGAAAGAGCTGAACCCAAAGGCAATGCTCTCAATTTACCAGTCAATCTACATTTCTACTCTCACCTATGGTGATGAGCTTTGGATCATGACCGAAAAGACAAAATCTCAGATACAAGCGGCTGAAATCAGTTTCCTTCGCAGAGTGGCAGGGTGCACGCTTATAGACAGGGTGAGGAGCTCTGTCACCCGGTAGCTCAGAGTAGAGCCGCTGCTCCTCCACATTGAGAGAAGTCAGCTAAGGTGGCTCAGGCATCTGTTTCGGATGCCTCCAGGACTCCTACCTAGGGAGGTGTTCCAGGCATGTACCACCAGGAGAGGCCTTGGGGTCACGCTAGAGGGACTATGTCTCTCGGCTTGCCTGGGGACTCCTCGGGATCCCCTATAGGAGCTAAATGAAGTGTCTGGAGAGAGTAGTCTAGAGTTCTCTCCTAAGACTACTGCCCCCACGACCCGGCCCCGGATAAGCTGATAAAAATAACATGACATGACATTTCCAATTTAATCATAGAATATCATGTTGCACATTTACTTAAAAAAAGGAAACCACATGAAGGAGTATGTGCAATTTCAATATTGCAATTAGTTTATTAATTAATTTTTCTTTCGGCTTAGGGGTCGCCACAGTGGGATGAACCGCCAACTATTACAGCATATGTTTTACACAGCAGATGCCCATCCAGTTGCAATCCAGTACCGGGAAATCCCATACACTCTCACATTCACTCATACACTATGACCTATTTAGTTCATCCAACTCTCCTATGGTGCATGTCTTTGGACTGTGGGGGAGAGCAGAGCACCCAGAGGAAACCCTTGCCAACACGGGGGGAAACATGCAAACTTCACACAGAAATGCCAACTGATCCAGCCGGGACTTGAACCAGTGACCTTCTTGCTGTGAGGTGACAGCACTAATAACTGAGCCACAGTGCAGCCCTTTATTAGCCTATCATTATATAAATAAAACTAAAGTGTGTGGTAGTGATAAAAACCGCAAAAGATTTTCCCCAATGTATTTTTTTCTGAACTTGAGTAGATGAAGGTGGATGAAGAACAGATGGAATTTGGGTAGATGAGGAACAGATGAGTTAGTTATATTGTTTTACTGTGTGCGTGTGATCCTGTGTAAAAACTTACATCCAGTTATATTAGAGGTCCTGATCTGTTTGGTCATCACTGACAGCTGCAAAACCAAATCTTTTGTACTCACCTTCACAACATCCAGTAAAAAGATCTGCATGAAAAAGACCTTGACGGTTATAGTCATTTCATAAGGCATTCCTCCAATGGCATAGCACAGTTTCCTGGAGAAAGGGATGCCCTGTAGAATGTGCAATGTATTTTAACATAAAGCATGCAATATCTCTGAAAAAAAATCTTTATATTTGAATGGAGAGATTTGAAGTGACCAACAAATGAGCATTGATGATAATATGTGACATTATACCTTCTGACTGTCCTCATTTTCTTTATTGGCATCTGTTTGATTATCCATATCCACTCTATTGTCGACCGTCTTTCAGTTGTCCATGAAAAGATTCTCCTGTTACGTTTCCTAACACTTTTTATTCCTGAGTATAGGTTTGACCTTTGTCCTTGAACAAACACCTTGTTCAATTTAGATTTAATCATTTAGGAAACAAAAGCAAATGAACTAACTAAGAGCAACAATGTGTAACTGCTGTGGCATGTCACACGTAGCTATGACAGTATTGCACTTTTTTATTTGTAAAATTGGATTAATAATAGTAGAACAGAGAGTGCAATATTTATAACTTGCAATAAATGGTCAAATTTTGAAAAAAAGAATCTCGCTTTTTCTGGCTTCGAATAAACACATGAGTCAAAAGTCATTTTGCCTGTAAAGTTATTAAACAACAAGAAGAAAAACACATCCAACCGAACCTTTGTTCTGACTGGAGAACATTTTAAGGAGGTTTTGCACTTAGTGTACTTTATACTCACCAACAAGTTTACAGTAGGCCTACAATTCATGTCACTCACTCGTGTACAGAGGATCAAATACAATTTGGTAAACACTGCCCTTTAAAGTGTACTTTGGTTATTGCTAAATATTGAATAACTGTATCAAATAAATCTATTAAATGTGATGCAACACACAATGTACCATGTTTTCCTATACTATAGGAACAGTGAAGAAATGCTTCTAAACAATCAACGGTTGTCTATTAAGATGATTGATGTCTCAGTCTTTCAAAGCGCATACTCTTCAAAACAGATATTTTTTAGTAGCATAAGATGATGAACCTTTAACATACACAAAATCCTTTATGTCCTAAAAATGTTTTTTATAAAGAAAAAAGGTTTGGATTAATAAAATGCTCTTCATACTTTAAAAAATCATAGTTAATCTAATACCTATGACAATGCACTTCTGTTTGCCAGAATTGAGTGGTAGTTTCTGTTTAAAACTATGGAAAGATTTTAAAAATATATGTATAAAAATAGATTCAGATCCTTTATGCTAATTCTTCAGTTTAAATATTAACAAACAGAACAACATCTCCTCTGCCCCTTTCAGACAGGGGTACCACTAACCTGATTCACCAAGTAGGACATGTTTCTGCAATAACATCTATGTTGATCCTGGAACAACATTCCAATCAGCTAATCAGAAGTAAAGGATGTGTTTACTGTTTATGTCAAGTTTAGGTTAGGTTTATGCACTTCTACATGATTGCTATCCAACTATCATTCCCCTCTGATTTTGGAAATAATTTACAGTTATGGTTGATTGTAGGGGTAGAGAATAGCTATGGATTACTTTTCCCAACAAAAATGATGTTCCAGGATCAACATGGGTGTTAATCCAGAATCGCATCGTACTTGACAAAATCATGACGTGCACAGGGGTACATAACAGGGTGGTCCGCTCTCTCCCTGATTTTCACTCTAGCAATTGAAACATTATGGAAATTCCTAACCATACACATATTTCATTCAGGAATTGGCTGTTCTAAAGAGATTTCATTTCTCTAAAGAGATTGATCATATGCAGGCAGATGATATAATCACATTTTATTCAGTCTAAAACAGTTTATCCCAGCATTACAAAATTTGATTGAAATAGTAATTTATTAATTTATATATTTATTTATTTTACCATATTTAACCAGAAAATGTCATTGAGATTTAAAATCTCTTTTACAAGAGAGACCTGATCAAGGTAACAGCCATACAGTCAAACAAATTTAAAATACATAAACAGCACTTAACAAAATCATCAGTCCTCTCAACAAAAACAATTGCATGCTTGCAATTATCGCTCTTTATTCATTCATTAATTTTCTTGTTGGCTTAGTACCTTTATTAATCCGGGGTCACCACAGCGGAATGAACCGCCAACTTATCCAGCAAGTTTTTACACAGTGGATGCCCTTCCAGCCCCAACCCATCTCCGGGAAATCGCTCTCTTTATATTGCCTATAAAAAAAGACACAATTTTATTAGTTTTAAGTCTTTTTGCAAATCATTCCATGTTCAAGGTGCACAATAAGAAATTGCAGTTTTACCCAGCTCAGTACAAACTCGAGATATATTAAAAAGCAGACACTTGGAAGAGCGTAGCTGGTAATACCCAGAGCTAAGACAAAGAAGAGTACAAGTCAAGATAAGCTGGATGTTTATCTAAAATAGCTTTAGGTAAGTTTAGTGAATTCTCAGCATATACAATTAATGACTCTATATCTGTGTTGCTGTTCCTACATAAAGCAGTTTCACAAGAAATGTTCTCTTATCTTGGGATCACACATACACCAACTGTAAATGAAATTGTATCAGCATATTTAAAGCATATATGAGATACTATAACCGGTCTGTTCAACAGATGAACAAAAATTGTTAATAATATTATACGTGTTAATATTTTAAAAATGTCAGTCTTAGCTGAACTGTTATACGTTTTCCAGTCTATCCCATTACCTTCACATTCCTCTTTTCTTGCTCTACTGAAAAACCTTTTACCAACTTCACTCGAAAAAACAAGCACCCTCATCTCAGGCTCTCCTTGCTATGTTTGCCCTATGAAAGATCGCTCTCTCATCTTTCTTTAGAGGCCTACTCAATTTCAAACCATTTAAATTTTGTATTCAGCAGATAATAAAACATTTTAAAGATGTTCTAAAAATCCAGGTGGATTACCAAAACTCTTGCGTTTCTCACCAGTTTTTGGGAATAGAAATTTTAGAGTTAATCCAGGTTTTAAAATTTGGTCAAGGTATTAGCAAGGTGGCTGATCTCTATGATGAGGAAAACTTTGTTCTTTGAAGAAAAAGCACTTTTTCTAATATTTACAATTGTGTAGTTTTATTATGTCAAGACAAGGTCAATGTCTGGCTGAACCCCCTCTTTGTACTAGGGAAAATATTACACTTAACTGTTTTAAAAGTAGCGGTCAGGTATCTGACAAAAAAAAAACAAAAAAAAAAACAGACAAATCAAAAGAGTTATTTCTTCTAGCTTGGCAGTCTGACCTGCAGGCTGATATAACTGAGGAAGAGTGGCAAAAAACTTGTTTAAAAGTCCAAACTCAGACAACAAGCAACCATTTCAGATTGCTTCAATATAAATGGATATACAGTGGGTATGGAAAGTATTTAGAGCCCCTTAAATCAGAGAGGATGTTCAGAAGTAATGTACAGAACTCGAGTTAAATATATAAGTGCCACGGCAATGGGTCTGAATAGATAGGACCATGTGATATTTTAGTTTTTCATTTTAGTAAATCTGTAAACATGTCAACAATTTTGTATTTTTCTGTCAATATGGGGTGCTGTGTGTGCATTATTGATGAACTTAAGGATTTTAGCAAGTGGCTGTAATTTAACAAAGAGTGAAAAAATGAAGAGGGTCTAAATACTTTTTGTACCCACTGTGTGACTCCATTTAAGTTGCATCATTTTAACCTGAATATCTCTGATGCATAAATGTAAACAGGAGACTGGAATGTTATTTTAATGTATGTGGGCACGTGCTAAAGTCAATTGTTTTTGTGTAAAAATACTGAATATTGTAAGTTAAAACAAATCATTATTAATGGAATTCCTTTGATTCCTGCTTGTGTATATCACATATTTGTCCCTTGAACTTTTTAAAGTGACCAAACATGAAAGATTGCTGTTAGTTTTATGTTTAGTGGAAGTGTTGGAATATCAAGCAATTCCATGCGTGTTCAAGAAAAAAGGTCAGGAGAGGTTTTTCTTCAATATCAAAAATCGTAACAATTTATTGGATACAAATGAATAATTCGATTCACAGAATTCTGTTATCCTCAATGCAATGCAGAAGTTACATTAAGGAGGTGCGCAACAACTTTCTTTTCCAGACTTCAACTTATATAGGCAGCTGATATTAACAGGTGGAGTTTAATAAAATTCGTCATTTGTCAGTCATCCTTCAGTTCTTTGGCTCTTGTACCCCCAGACATACTTCCTCTTTCTGCAACCCTTCTCTGCATACCAGAACTGAACAATTATGTGCATCTTTAATATATTTCACACCTTCTAAAAGCATCATGAAAACTTGTGACATGTCTAGACAGCAGTCTGGAACAAACGCTAAATTTATTCTTTAATATATTTCCTCTTGTCAGCAGTTCCTCTAAAAGTATGCAGCACAGTAAAAAAGAGGAAGTGTGTCAGGTCAACATTATACAAAAGAAAAAGATTGATTAATATGTTGTTAGTCTAAACATTTTTTCAATAAAAATAAAGACACAAAAGTAATAAAAATAAATTCTTTTTTTTTCTGCAATTTCCCCCTTTTCTGCTTCTCTCAGAAAACAACAAAAACATAATCAAATCCCCACCAACATTTTCAACTGCCATTACTGCAGGCATTTGCCTAAATCTTTGTCTTACCTATAACTGAAAATAATTTTTAACATCATAGTGCTCGTTCATTATGTAGGATAATGCCCATAACCCCTTTTAACTCAATTTCTTTAACTTTCTTGCATTCAGTTTATAATCTCCTGGTTCTCCTCTTCGGTGGTGTCGTCTCTTCCTTCTTGAAGTCACTCTGATATCTTCTTACAATAAGATTTATACTTGCTATATCCAGGCTTATTACTCCCAACACTCATATTAACTTCCAATTATCCCATTATTAAAATGTTCCTATCTTATACACTTTATTAATAAAGGTAGGCTTGTTTGCTTGTTTGTGTGTTTTTCTTCCCCAATATCACAAGAATTAGACTAAGAATGAAAATAATAAAAAATGGTAACAAATAATTAAAATTAAAACTCCAACATATAAAAAAAATTAAAATAAAAATCTGATCAAAAGGAAATCCACTCTCATAAAGATATTCTCCAATTAAAAATACCACAGTATGATTAAGATCTAAGATCAACATTTGTGAAAATATGATTAGAAATTCAAAATTCTAACAACATCATTAAAATCAGAAATTCACTAAAACAAAAGTATAACCCCCAGACTGAATTTCAACATTTTAAAGTCATTATAGAACAAAAATTACAATTGAGATTTAGGATGAAAAATCAACAGCTTC